CTACTCACCCTTTACATGACATATATTTCTTATTGAAACAAATAATGTATAAAAAATGAAAACAAAAAAAAAAAAAAAAAAAAAAAAAAAAAAAAAAAGTAGAGCTGAGAAGATCTAAGCTCCCTACCACCTTCCCTTTCTTCCCCTCCTCTTCCTCCTTTTCTCTCTCGGGTTGCATGAGCTCCAACACAGAGCTAAACTGGAAGACCTTGGACTGGTATAGTAAACAGGAGAAAAGTTTCATTCTGCGTTGTGGCCACCATAAATTGTAGCATGTTTTTTTTTTTTTTTTTTTTTTTTTTTAATAAATTTTTTTTTATTTTTTCTAAAAAAAACCTGTGGCACATTTTTGTTCTGTTGCTACCGCTCCTCCAAAATGCACAGAATCATCCTGAGGTATTTTCATTTGATACAATTTGGCTTAGTGGATCCAATCAATCAAACAAATCAGTTAACAAAGGTGATTTCATGAGTTGTCTTTTTTTTTCTTCTTTTTTTCTAAAGTGTGCAATTTGTACAGCTTTATGCTACAAAAAGTTTGGCACGAGTGAACATGGAAGTATATACACACGTATGTCTCTTTATGCAAATATCAAAACATGTAAATAAACAATCAGATTAATCCCACCCCACCTCAAAAAAAATAAAATAAAAATGTTTTGGTTATCATTTCAAGCTTGCCCAAGATCTGCCATGCACAGATAACACTAAATCCCAACAGATGGATATGTGATGGATGAGTATAAAACAGTGGAGCCTCCTTGGATCCAGTAGCCCCGACTCACAACCCACCCACACAATGGTGCAAAGGAAAACAAGGGATCCATTAATAAAAAAAATCTTCTTCCTCAAGAGATCTGGATTACTCACAATGTGAGAACAGTTTCCTTTTAAGACTGCAGTGTTTAAAGGGCAAATATAATCAATATTTGTGAGCCATAAAATCTAGAATAGCCTTCTGAAATCTAAAGCATAATCATAATTTTAAAAGGACATTTTAATCACCAAAACGTCTTTTCAACCATGCCTCAGGTGGCATGTGTGTACCACTAGTGCCTTTTGATGCATATTCAACACATAACATGGGAGTGGCCTTCCAGGTGGTACAGCTGGTAGCACTGTTGCCTAGCAGGACCTGCATATTCTCCCGGACACTCAGAGTCCAAAAACACAAATCCTAGGTTAACTAGTCTCTAGAATAAGCTCAGGTTTGGAAATGTGTGCATGCATTATGGTTTGTCCTGTGTTGGCCTGTGATTGACTGGCTATCTGGTGTACCATGCTTCTCACCCAATAATTGCTGACCCGCCCCCTGCAACCATGCAAGGATAAACAGATAGAGACAATGGATGGATATGGGAAGTATATTCCCACCATGTAGTGGTCTCAGCTATGCCCAATCATGCTTAGTTTGGCTAATTTACAAAATTGACAGTACCTAATTGAGAACGTGTAAAAGAAGTACCATATGATAATGTATCAACAGGATAAACTTTGTCCAAAGAACAACTGGTATCCATAAACCCCACTCTGGTTACTTATCAAAAAGTGTCAAATAGTGTGTTTGAACGCATTGGCAACACAGAATAATGACGGAGTCAGCATTTTCGCCATTAAGATCATGTTGTAAACATTTTTGCCTGAAGTTTATGAAACAATTAAAATCTCCATTCAAGGGAAGGCACACCCCAAACCTGAGACAAGAGAACATATTTAAATGCTAGAGTTAGGAAAGAAATCTGTAAAACCACTAAGGCAGCCATAGCTCTTGTTAATGAGTATAAAGGTTTTTATGCAAGAACATGCTTTCTTCTAGTGATTTTTGCTTTTTTTTAATTGGTACTCTGTCACTAGTTAAATCAATAAACACCCGTGCCCGTCTTATTTTCATATTCAACTCATTTTTTAAATTAATTAATTTTTTTACCAGTCTGAGCCAAATGAATGCGGGAGCGTTTGACTGTAGTTGTAATCTAAATGCAAATCAGTATATTTACCTCCCTCTAATCCACCACCTACGCAACATTAGCGTCAAATGACACTTAAGGCTAAACAACAACTTGACAACTTCAAGAGTTGGAGCGGTCTAACAGATGGTATGCTTGGAGTAACGTCCTGACTTTTATCTTACTGTTGTGCATTGAAAACGTTCAGAGGGAACCATCGACTGTTTACGTAGAGAAAAAAATAACTTGAATTTCCATCTGAACGCTGCCAGTGTTTTCTTTTACAATTAGACTTATTGCGACTCTTGACTTTTTTTTTTCTCCCTATGATGAAACACAAATAGAATAGGTTTGCAGAGTACTTTTAACCCCCCCACATCTGTTAGCTCTCTAATCTAGTTCTCTCAGAAAACATTTTCCTGACTTCCTTCGTAGTCAGGAATAAAAAATAAAAAAAAACTCCAACCAACGTTTCAGCTGCAAACTTTGGTATCAATGCTTCTGAGTTCAGAAGAATCCCAATCGCATCTTCATTACTCTTTAGCAACTTTTGACCAACATTTTGTCTTTCACAATATTTTTGCATATTGCTCTATTTGTCATGGGAATGAATGGAACTATCATGACATGCACGGCTGAAAACGGATAAAAATGAATCCTTTTAAAAGTGATGATATATGCCCTTTAAATACTAATAGACTGTCAATCCTAGTTCAGCCAACCGAGAATAAACTTGACGTCAATCTAAAAAAACTAAAAGTGAATTGTTGTCGATCACACTATTTATGACATGTAAATGAAAGAAAGGAAGAAGGAAGGGATCATCAGAGCTTTTTTTTTTTTTTAGCTAAATATACCCTGTTTTTCAGTGGCAGAGTTATCAAAAGACAAAAAATTATCCCTGTGCTCACCACAGAAGAGGTGATAGCGGCGGACACAGATGTCATCTTTCCCCTCTTTGTTATATAATCTTTATTCTCTTCCACAATTACCTTTACAGGTTTATTATGTTTAAAGGTTAGAGATCAAAGTTTGTGTTGTACTACATCCACCGACCCAGCACCTCTAACTTTGCCCTTTTCAGAAACATGATAAATATGTGTCTGACTGAGTATTTGTGTGCATTTTCTCTTGTCTTGAAGGAAAAAAATAAAATAAACACATGCAAAACAACCTACTACTCCTGATGATTTTTTTTTTTTCAGTAAGCTATGCCTTTTTTTCAAATGCAAATGTGGGAGAGAGTTTCTTTTTAAACTAATTGCTATTGTGCTACCAAATAAGCAAACACTAAAATTCTACATAGATTTTTAAATTTTTATAGCTGAATAGAATAAAAAAGTAAGACTTTGCAATCATTTTATATGTGCAGTGCCAAGAATGAAATGCCCCTCTGCTGTCTAGAGTTTCTATTCTTGCCTTTTCTCTATACAAATCATTTTCTCAGTCTGCCTTCTTTCAGTTTGTAAACATTATTCCTACATTGCTCTCATCACTGTTGTGTCGCTGACGTGGTTTTTAAAAGCAGAAAACCAGTAACTGACAAAAACAGCCAGTTGATTACACTAATCTGTTCACTTTTTTTTTATTTTATCCTCTTTGTGTTTCTCCTTCACTCTCAGGTGTCGTCGTAGGTACGTTTGTTAGCGCAGCAAGTGGCAGACCATTGGCCTCGCTCACTATTCCACCTTTCCCTTCCCAAAATGCCTATAGGTCTAGTTCACCCATCTGGTTTCCTCTGTCAGGCCCATTCTCGTAGTGAGCTTGTCAGTGAAGGTGGAAAAGAAAAAAATGGTAAGAAGGAGGTCATTATAAGCCTTATCTCCTTTTCCACTGTTTCTTAATCCTCCTTAAAAAAAAAAAAAATCACTACCACCGTCAACGCCTGCACATTACTGCCACATAATACACTCTTCTTCTAACAGCAAAGTAGGAATTCTTCGATAAAGAAACCTAATACACCAATCCCAGAAATGGCACTATTATGTTCTCTTCCTCCATTTGGAAACCGTGCAGCAGAGTGCTGATCAAATATTAAACTGATTGGTACATGGGAGACAATGGGCAAATATGGTGATATAATCTGCAAAGAGAGTAAGAGCAATACAATTAGTCCCAAGTGGGCCAGAAGTTCTTTTTTTGAGCACAATGTCAAAGAGAAGAAAAATGGTCAGGTGGCTATGACATCCCTTAGTGGATAACATAGTTGATAAATTATAATACAAACCCAGAGAGGAGTTAGAGGGAGAGAAAACATTTCTTATATCAACTAAACATCTGACTCCAGGCTGGGGATTTTCTTATACACCCGTCTATTGCTGAACTGGGCTGAGTTTAGGACACCCCTTGAGGCTGGGTATGCACTAGTCTTATTGGCTGAGTAAGGCATCACATGCTCTTTATTATACATGTCATTAGCTATCCGCCCATCCCTTGAGCAGTATGAAGAGGTGGATTTAACAGAAGAGCGAAGATTGTTCGCATCATTGCGTGTTTTGATGGGAGCTGCTCCTAGGGCCAATGAAGGAGAACCTACTGCCAGCTGTTTGTAAATGTCAGAGGAGCTGCGCCCATGGACCAGTCTGCTGCTGGTGTCATCCCTCAACGAGTGGCTGAGGAAAGGGTTTTCCGAGCCATGGGTTGGGTACAGGGACTTGCTCCTCTTGCTCTCCTCAAGGTTATTGTTAAACAGCATTGATTTAGACCCAGTGCCAAAGAGTCTGCCGGAGTAAGGGCGCATCCCAAAGAGATTGGCATAGTGGGAGTCAGATGCTGAGTCCAAGAAGCGATCCTTCTCCTTGAGGCTGACGCTGCGTGCTGGTCGGCCCAGGTCTACATCCTTGGGCTTTTCGAGCATGATGTTGTCAAAGGAGTGCTGACGACTTAGCCTCAAGCGGTTTCTTTTTTGGACATGTGGCCCATCTGTCTGTGGCCAGTATAGACCAAACATTTCGTCTGGCTGCTGCTGCTCTTGGTGATGCATGGTGGGGCTAACCAAGGGATCACCAAGAAGCTGGTCCTCACTAATGTCATACAAATTGGCCGTGTGAAGGCATGCGTCACATCGATTGTATGGAGATCGCGTCCCAGATGCTGCGGCAGATCCTGTAGAGACGTAAGGCCCTCCTTGTTGGTAGCTAGAGGGTACTTTGGACAGGCAGGATCGGCAGTGTGTCTGTTTGTAGCGGTCAATGGATTCATGAGGGGACAGGGAGATATTTTTCTCTTTTAGGCTGTAGTGTTTCGAGTAAGCCGAGTCTGTCAGAAGATCTGAGTCCGTGTGATGCATAGGTGAGGAGTTCAGATGAATGATTGGCTGCTCACACTTTCTATAGTTATCACTGTGGTCAGAGTAAATTTCAGGGTAATCCAAATCATCTGTTCCAAGACCATGACTCTCGCGGTAGTGAACGGGATCTGAATGGAGGCTCATCTCCCTGTCGGAATCAATTGTGTAGATTTTCTCTCCTCCACCTCCTCCTCTCCCACTTTGGTTGGTTCCACCACTGACCTGCTTAGTTTTTAAGTAGGACAGCTCCACCTCACTGCAATCCCTAGGGTATTTTGACGTCACGGATCTTTTTTTTAAGTTGTCCTTGGGTTTCAGGTGCTTGTTGTTTTCTGGGTCCTTGTAGGTGGCTCCCCTGCTTGAACAGTCAGAGATGTCGGAGTGGGCCGTGTCTTCTGGGAGGTAGCGCTGCGTCTTCATGGATATTCGTGGATCTGGCATTAGCATGTCAGGCATCGGAGAAGGCCCCGGTGGCACAGAACGCAACGTGTCGGTTGACTTTTTCCACAGGGTTCGCTGAGACTTTGCATTTGTTTGGACCGTGTCAGCACTCACTGCTACCTCCACGGTATTTGGATTGGCATCATTCAGGGTCAGGGGATGCTGCCCGCCTTGAAAAATATAGTTGTTGAGGTGGTCTTTGTGGCGATTTGCAAGATAAGACTGAAGGTCACCGGTGTCCCCATAGATCATATCTTTGGGAGCGTAGCTTCTGTTGTCAGCATAAATGAAGTTGCCTTTCTCTGCCATCATGTCCATGATCATGGGACCAGCTGAGTGCATGAATTCTCGTTTAGGCGAGTTCATGCGGGAGCCACTGAGGTTAGACATGTTGGTCATCTGTTTCGCAGACTTAATGAGCTTAAGCATTTTGTCCTGGGGGCTGAAGTCAAGGTCTGTCTTCTTCTTCATGTCAATGTGAACTCCATGGATACAGCTCCAGATTCCCTGCATAATACACATTAATAAAGAAAAGATGAAGAAAATGAGCAAACAGAAAAGGGATAGGAGAAAATTAGGTTAAGAACATGTTAATATATATGTATATAGGAAATTATACCAATCTTTGTAAACACTCAGATGTGTCACAGTTTATAAAACCGGCAGTGGAACACTATTGCTCTATTAAATGCACACATTATTTGCTCTTCCTGGAAAAACAAAAAGGCAATTTGATATGGTTGATGGAAATAGGTTTTATTGAAAATATGACTAACCAACATATTTTCAAAGCGTGCCCTCACTTTGTTCTTAAAAGAAAAAAAAAACAAAAGAAAAAAAACTATTCTACCTGTGTTGTTTTGATGGACATTCTAGATTTTACTACAAATTCCATTTCTACTGCACAATGCACCCCAAACAATTTCATTTTTCTTTTGGAAATATATTTATATTTCCATATCTCCAATGACTTGGTCCATCATTTTGTAAGCTCAGCATTTACAAAATGATGTTTCAGACTGAAAAAAAAAGAAAAAAGAATCTCTCTCATAGTTAATGGAGTAGGTTACACTTCTTTATAGTGTATCAGCTGCATAATCAAGGAAGCTTTTTCAAAGGCGAAGGTGTAGTTAATACACAGTTGAGACCAGAATTATTCATAGCTATGGCAGATTCAGATTTAAGGTTATCTTCTAATTTTACCAACATTATTCTTCTGAATGTTTTGGAGTGACTCAGTCAGTGTCAATGTGAAAGAGAATATCTGGAGGGATCTAAAGATTACAGCGACGGGACAAAAATACATTTTCAAAATACACGTGGGAACATGTAAAAAGATGGGCATCAGTTACGAGATTGGTTTGATTTCTGTTCTACATTTTACCATAACTGTCTCAAAATGTATAAACATGTTTTTTTTTTTTGTAAATTCTTGATTTAAAGCGATTAAAAAAATAATAGCATAATTAGAAATTAACATGAAATTCTGGGATCTATGGACCTCTGGTTACTGTCGCTAACCAACATGCCAGCTTCAATATCTCTGGACCAATGGTACCTGGAACAGAAAATCTGTGTCGGTACGCAGTTTTCAGAAACATAAAAGTCTTTTGACTCATATGTAGGGCCTTTGAAAACTTTCACATTTTTCACATGGGGAGAATTGGTACTTTTATTTGAAGGTTGGATCAGTGAATGAAGACATAACACTAGCTTGCTAAGAGATCACTGTTGATAGATGTGTCCAAGGATATGCAAACAGTCCCACAGCAGTGGACTAACAGTAGTCAGTGTGTTCTTTTGTGCCACCAAATCTGCCCATAATACAAAAACACCCCTCTCCACAAAAGTGCTGTAAAACATCCACAATGACGCAAACTTTTTCGTTTTCCATTTTTACCTGCATTTCTGCTGGATTTGAAATATGCTACTAATTAGCACTCATGAGTAAGTTTTCATCCACAAAAAGTAGTCAACAAAACCCTCTACATGTTGTAATATCAGAGTTCTGCTTTAGACGTACTCATCAATAACCTTAGTTTTTTTTTTCTCCCTCTCTTTGTACATTTTGTGAAGAATGTCTGCATAATATAAGCAACAAAATGACATTTAAATCTGAATTATCATAAGTGGCAAGAAAAGGCATCTCCCTTAAAAAGTTTTATTTTTCCTTTAAGGTTTCACCGCCTCCTCACTAACTGCCAACGTTAACGTTTCCATACGGAGCAACACTGCTGCAAATAAAGTGCAAAGACACTGCAGTGCTTTTAGGCATGCACGTCCATGTCTTGTGTTCTAACACACAATGAGGAAAAACGCTGACCTTTCAGCAGAATGAGAGAGAATAAATTGATTAAGTGTGGGTTGCTGTGGTTTCATCCAAAAAACAGGCCGCAATTAGGGTCTATTTTTGTCGATAGTCAGGGCTGCCTCGTGATTCCCCCTCCCGCCTCCGTCCCCATCCTTGCATCTCATCCTGTTCTGCGAAGCTCTGCCTTCCCTCCTGTTTTAAAGTTAGTGCCTTAGTTTTGCACCAGTTTGTCTGTGGGGGGAAATAAAATAACCAAACCAGGCCTGTCTGACCCTGTTATGACTGAAGTAGTTCATTGTACCTTCTTCCTTGATCATTGAGGTATTATTACCTCCATATATTCACGTTTAGAGACTGAACTCCCTGTTCCTGCGAACCTTTGGCACATGCAACAACACATCATGTTGATTGAATCCTTACCCTGCTGATGGAGAAAAGAAGCCCTGGCCTGCCAGAGCAGACTCCGGTGAAGCAGTATCTCAGCCTCCAGTAGAAGAGATGCTCCGAGACGAAGGTGATGAGGGACAGTCCCATCGCCGTGGCCAGCATGTAGAAGACCCCCGCCATGTTGTCCACATCCAGCTGACTTGACATGACTTCGTTCTTCTCATTGTGACAGATTCCTGTCAGCCACTGGGCCTCCAGTTCTTCCATTTCACCTAAAAAACAAATGCAATGGAGTAAGACCATTCTATGGCCTCCAGGAATTTCCTACATCATTCAAACACCACAAGACTGAGGCCAATTTAAAGAGCCTTATTCCGGCACTTTTGCACTCGTAGTACTTGGTAAATAAGTTTTCCACTGCTGCTTTCGCCACCGTCTTACCACAAAAATACCAGCACTGGTATCATATCTGCACAAGGGTTTTTGCTTACAATCTGCAGGATTTCCCTACAGGCTTCTGCGCCTACATCATCAGTTTCAGCCTTCCTGTGGAGGAGCAAACAGCATCAGGACTTAAATCAGCTTATCAGCAACATGAGGGGACTTTCTGTACAGACATCTAAGCATCACCAGGTTGGATAGTCCAGTGCAATACTTCAGAGCTCTCTACACATGTTTCGGTCAATAAAGCCAGAGGGATTCATTGGATACAAAATGCTAACTCTGATCACGGTAAACTGATAATCTTGAGCTCATGGAACAGGAAGTTTTTTTTTATTATTTTTTTTATTTTAGTTGCACTAAAATATATTTTGTAATTGTATTATAAGCTCCTCATCCGTATTTTCCCTCATCATAACCGAGTACATTTATATAGCTTTTCTTAGGCAGCATCAGGAATAAATTGATTATTTATACTAGAATATGAAGCGTGCAAATTCCCTCGTATAAGCAACCAGGTTTTAGGTGTGTGCACTAATTCCTTCGTGGAAACTTTATGTCACGACAAGTTCAACCTATTCTGATCTCTGTGAAAATGAATTGAGTGTTTTGAGTCGGTGAGAGGTTTGAGGAAATGGGGATTGTTTCAACTATCAGCGTGTAGTGTAAATGAAAAAGGTTATTTGATCATAAATGGATGTTCTCTGTATATTTACTGATCTTTATTTATAATAGTTGAAAAAAAAAACAAGCAGCAGCTGCTTTAATACCTGTTTTAAATACTGAAAACATTTTTAATTTAGATGTAATACCCATGCATGTATGAAAAAAATGTGTTATTTCTTCAGATATTGTTTTACTAAATAATTGTACTCAAATTCTAAAACTGAACTTCTCACATTTTTATTAGTCCAAGATTATTGTATTTCATTAAAAGTTTATTTGAACCTTTTTACACGTTTTTGCCAACTTCCTCTTCCTGTATTTGAAAGCTAATTACTTTATTTTTCTATGATTGAAAAAAGTAATAACTCAATGAAAAAAAAAGAAAGAAAAGAAAACCAGCTACTTATGTTAAATTTTGTTTCTTGTTCTGAGCCTTTTGGCAAAGTATTGCACCTTTTATCAAATCAATCTTTTTTTTTTTTTTTTAAGAATAGCTTGAGCATCACCGATCCCAAAGCCTCCACAAACCTGGTCCGATAGTCCAAACGGAGCGTTTCTTTAGCGTTAAAGAAAGTTAAAAAAGTAACAAAGAGCTTATCTTTTCTCATTTCTCACTCTTGTGTACCATTTCTTCTGTCTCCCCTCCCACTCTGACTTCCTCTGTGACATTTGGCGCGTGGCTAATCCAATCTGTGTCATTCAGGGCCGGGTAACTAAGGCTGCTAGTGGGGAAAGACAAATATCATGGTGGTTCTCAGCTACATGTGTCTGACTGCAGACTTACTAACACGTCATTACCCCTCAACTTCAACGGAAGATCATTTATCTCTCTTAACATTTAAGAACACGCTAAAAGATAGAGCGAAGGGATACGTTTCCAGTCATATAACGCTCAGTAGAGAGATCAATCTTGATGTAATAAGAGGAATGTGGCAGTCACCTCTGGACTAAGACCAAAATTTGACCCAGATGTTTTTGGTTCAGATGAAAAAACAATTTACAAAACAGGTAAAAGAAAAAAAAAAGTAGCAAATGAAAATTCTATTATTTATTTTTATTTTTTTTTTTACAATGACAACACGAAAAGTACATGTTTCATATATGCATACAGGAAAACTTGTCAAAGATATGAAAAAGGTATATTTTGTATTAATTTTAGCAAAGCGTATTCAGTATGTTCATTGTATTTCTAAAAACTATATGGGTTTAAAAATGCCTGGATTGCTTATAAATACTAATGCCTATTACTTCATAGAGAATTAACTGTAAGTATATCTATATTTTATATAAGTGATGATTATGTATCATTAACCGTATGGAAGAGCATTAAAAGGTAAAGCTGCAGTGATAATGCAATGTAGAGTGCAGTACTGGTGGAAGAGAGGGGAAAAAAGACTCCATATAGTAGCAAACGTTCCCAAAAGTATCAATATGAGAAGAACAACATGAATCTATGTCTAGGAAATAAATGTTAAAACTGAATTCTCTTTTTTCCTTCCAGATGAGATATGAATTGATACCCAAATGAGTAAAGGCACATTTCAGGAAAGGTTTCCTGAAGGTTTTTCTCTCCACGGTTTTACTTCCCAGATGCTTTGTTGTCGACCTAGCTTGTTTTTTTTTTTGTGTGTGTGTGTGTGCGTCTCGACTCGGTGAATTACATCCCCTGATGCTGTGCTGGTTCTCCTCCAGCCTGAGTACCGCTGACGTAGGAGGTCACACATCTCAGAGTCAGAATGTGGCAGCATGACTTTGATATCATAGTTTTTGTGATACAAGAATGATCATATATGTTTTATATCGCATATAACCGTCATAAAGCTTTTACATCTTAAAACAGCTAGATTATTGTTTCTGAAACAGCTAGAAACATCTTTTTAGCTGTTTCAGTCTAGCTATGAAACAGCTAAGTTGCTTCATAGCTGTTATGGTTTGAAAGCCAAGGTCTACAACTCCAAACTGTCTAAAAATGTGTAGATAGGTCGGATGTTAAATTAACTGAGTCAATCCTGACTCACAAAAATCCCCAATTGGGTCTAAAGACATAATTTCTAACATGTGAACAGAGGAATTTCTCCTTCCACCAAACATTCCATTATCATAGAACAGTCGGCTTTGTTTGAGGTTATCCTTTATGGCAATCTACTTTGTTTTCATCAATTGCAAACCATAATCAGAAATGACAGAAGTAAACGCTTCATATCTCTGTGTATGTAACATATTTTATATATATATATATATATATATATATATATATATATATATATATATATATATATATATATATATATATATATATATACAAAACTCTTTCACTTTTTGAATTGAATTACCGAAACAAAAACTTTTCAGGGATATTCTAATTCACCTATGAACCTTCATATTCTGCCTGCATCATTAATGCTTTAAGAACAGAGTGTTTCTCAACATCACTGAGTGACATTTAACATGTTCATATTAAAAACTCTTGACAACATGCAGGGGTATTACTTTATCTTCTTAACAAATAGCAGGAGAACAAATTTGTTACACGATCAGATAATTGCTTAAGAAGAGAGAAAACATGAAATGGCTGTTTTCTTGTCTTTTCTTTTTTCTTTTTTTTGCAATTAGTTTTAATTTAAGCTTTTGGATCCTTTAAGATAATGAATATTCTTTCTGCCTGTGGAACGTCGCGTGTTCACCTCCGGTATCTGGTCAAGCAGCATCTGCCAAGATACAGAGGCCCCTTCATCGATCACAGACCTGGCCTCCCCTCCCTCTTCTCCTTGTCCTTTTCTCGCCACGTTCTTTTCGTGCCCCATCTCTGACCATCGCACGCGCGCTGCCACTTCCCCGAAGGTGTCATCACTTTTTCACCCCGTCCGTTTACCCTCTTTATCTCTTTTTACCTTAACTCTATAATTTATCCCTCCTCTCCCGCTCGCTCTCACTTTCTTTGTTGTTCACCTTTATCCTTACCTTTGCGACTGGCACAGACACACAACAAATGGAGAAACACTGAAATTATCAGTGTGACACAGACTTGAAGTACTCTCAGTTAAAATCTGCAAAGGATGGCTGCTTGAAAATTAAAAAAAAAGAGACAGTGTGACATTGATACAGAGAAGAAGCAAACCAGGCAAAACAAAAACAGTGGGACCTATTTTTGTTCAAATGATCTCTCGAGTTTAACAGGTGAAGCTCTGACAGACTCAGTTACAGGTAAGCAGCTGAAATGCATTTCCAAGCTCGTGTTTGATAATATTCAAACCTACAAACCGCCTTTCTTATGAATTGTAAATTTGGTTTTCTTTACGTAAAAATTAATCCATGATACATTTTAGAAGCATCATCTCACATTACATTGAGTACATTTTTTCACTGGGTAATACATGATCCTAATGCATTAGGTTCATTGCAGATGCAGCAAAAGAAGAAAAAAAAATGAGATGGACGAATATGATTGTCAAAAAATATATTTTGAGATTTTTATATCACATATTTTCAAGAAAAAAAGTTGATCTCTGACAGAAAAAAAAGAAAATTTTCCATTATTAAAGGCATAAACATTTCAACTGATATAGTCATATATCAACTGAAATGTATATCTTCCATATCATACAAGGAGAAGGATAAGAGCTTCCTTGAGGAAGACAAAATACTAATGGATTTTTTTGGCACCACTGAAGAAATGTACTTAAGTTCTAGGTTGGATATTTCTACATTTTGTAGTGTGAGATAATGTTACGACAATAAAATATCTTTGCTTTAATTTTTTACACATCTTAGTCAGTGTTGAGGATGATGTACACAAACACACAAACATAAAATACATATTATCATCTACTGAACATACAAAGATTTTGAGTGTTATTTAATTAAATTTTTCTTTAGAAAGACAAATTGTCATTTTTTTTTCTCCCTGTTGTCTCAAAAATACACTGCTAGTCATTTTTATCCATGTGCATTCTTTACAATTCAGGTAAAGCACATTGTTTGAATTGGTTTTCGCAATGTGAGTAGCATTATCCACTTGGAAATTAAGAAACGCTGTGTGCAAGTGTGTGTGCGTGCGTGTGTGTGAGTTTCTCACCATCCCCGATGATGGCCAAGATGGCCAGATCCACCTGTCGCTTCCAGAAGGAACCTTTCTGCAGAGCAATGCCATAACCAGTGGTAGCAAATATGTACCTGAATACACAATCACATAACAGAAACCCACAAGTCAAAATATGTGATTTCTCCAGAGTGTCACCATATTAAAGGATGTTTAAGGGACAAAGCAAGGATAATGGGACATAAAAATAAATGAATAGCATTTCCAGTTGAAACAGTAAGTGAGGTAATAACAGTGCATATCAGCGTATTTCACTTGAATTTAGGTAATAGACCAACACAAATTTGTCCTTAATTGTGGAGGGAAAGCTAATGGATAAATTCTTTTACAATTTCATTCATTAAAAAAATAAATAAAATAAATCCAGCCAGCTTAATTTGTATGAAGGTTACAAACAGGTGGGCTCTACTTACAAATCTGGGGATGTGTGAATTTGAGGTATCAAGTTCAGAGGACTAACAACAACTGAACCTCAGGGTACGCTCAAGAGCTACAATCCTGCAACTACTAGATGCTCCTTTTAAAACACACCTGAATCGAATAGATGGCTCATCACCAGGCCTCTGAAGAGCTGAATGACAAGCTGTTGACTGAATTCAGGTGTGCTGGTGCAGGAATGCATCCAAAAGCTGCAGGACAATATATATAGCTCTGGAGGACGGCCTGAGGTTCACCCCTGATGTAGCTTGTGTAATCAGCTCAGTGTGCAGTGTTAGCCTTTCCAGTAAATATAAATTAATATCAACAATAAATTGTATTGGTGGTGCAAATTTTGTTGTGTTGTTTTTGGAAACAGAAACGTCCTGTGGATTCAACATCTGATCAGGCATAGATTAGCAAAACCACGGCAAAAGGGAATCCCTTTCTTTTCAAACAGATTTTAGACACGTTCCCAAAATATCAGCTTCTTTTACCGTCACTGCGTGACTCACTGTCCCAAAAATAAGCTACACCGGATCCGCTGCGCCTGAGCTGGGCAACGCCACAGAGCCTTTTCTCTATCAATCGTTTGGATAAATGGCTATCCGTTACTTAAGAACTGTAGCTTTATTTACCCGCTGCCGATGGTCACAAGCTTACACCCTTCATCTCTCCCAGCCATGTAGTTCAACACTGCAGCGTCATAAATGAAGGCATCCAGTTTGCTGTATGGGGACAACAGAACAGAGAACAATGAAAGAATAGAGATTTTGAAAAAGGAGGTCTTTCACGTTTTTTCTTTTTTTGTGTAAAGAATGAGTAAGAAGTGCACAGGAGGAGACAGAAGGCAAAGCAGCACTGCCTTATTTTTCAAAGCGTGTTGGTTGCAGATCAATTGTGAAGTGTTAAATCATCTCCAATAGGCCTGCAATCCAAGCGTATCCAAACACAAAGGACACAGAGGGGATTGATGGTTCAATACGAAACGCTTCATTGATGATAGGCCCTTGGAGGCGCAGGGGGATTCTGAACAAACTTCAGAACCTCACAAACATTTACACTGTCCTTTCCTCGAACCACACAGAGACTCGTAAACAAGTCAAAGAGGAAAAAAAAAATAAATAAAATAAAAGATCCAAGCCCTCTGACTGACATTTCTAATGTAACCGATACCGTCACTGGCCACTGCTCTCTCGCTATCTCGGCGCACGCACAAACACCAGACTCAGACACTCAGCACCCCGCTAATAGTCTGGTGACTGGCTGGCATTTTCCAGAATGTCAGACCCAGCCCTTTAAAAGGCGCTCACAGCTGATAGGTTAGCTGTGTAATTAGCTTAACCCACCACTGTCAACAAGGAATACGTGTGTCCCAACATGGGGAGCAGAGATTGCACATCGGTAGGCGTGTATGACTACCTAAATTAGAGAGCGCACCACCGCCTTTCTACAGGCACGTGCACATCTTTTAGAAAACAGGAAGCTCTACGGTAACCAAACTTTTATCACATCCTTGTATTGGGGAGAAAGGGGCGCAATAGATTATTAAGTGCTTTAATGAAACCTTTGTAAATGTCAGTTTAAATTTCTCCTTAGCTTTGAATGGATAGTTCAGACTTTTTAGAGTTAGATTCTAATAATTAACAATGACTGAATAACCTGCAAGAAGATCTTAAGTTTTCGAGCTTACAGTCAGAGCTACGTCACGACAAAAGTAGATGTTAGCCACAAACAACAGCATGCTGAGCGAAACCGACGAGAGAGAAAATTAAAGCAGAGTAAAAAGTGAATGATACAGCCTTTTACCTGAAACGCTGCCGCTTTGCTTTTGTAACAAATTGACTTCTGACTTATATGCCAAAACCGTTGTATATTTGAATTAATGTTCAGATGAGAAGGTTATGTTTTCATACTTGTATGGTTTTCATAGTAAATAACCACATAAGTCAATTTAAAGTACGAATACAAATAGAACCACTTTGATATTTTTTTTTTTTTCTGTTTTGGGGTTTGTGTCACACTTCAATCTTTTAGAGCCAGAATAAATACAAACCGTAGATTTTAAATGATTTACTTTAATAAGAGAAAAAAGCTTTCCAAAGAAAACTGGCCCTGACAGCACGAAGTAGGGCAAAAGAGCTTAAAAAGCAATATATTATGACCCCATCTAAAGAAGTTCAAGAACAGGTGAGAAATGGAGTCATTGACATCCATCAACTTGGAAAAAAGTTAGAAAGCCATTTCTAAAGGTCAGGAGAGACTGGCAAATTATCCACAAACGGAGTAAACACAGAAGACCGGCGACTCCTTCCAGGACTGGCCAGTCCACTAAACATACTGAGTGTTTTGAAACTCCATGCAGGAGTTCACAGAAGAACCCAGCACAATATCTTCAACCACTTCAAGCCTCACTTGTCTCGGTAAAGGTCAGGGTTTATGATTGACACGTAAGAAAGAGTCCAGCGGTAAAAATAATTGTTGACCAAACAAACCCAAAGGCCCATCTAACATACGCAAGTAAACATTTTGTTCTTCCCTAAAGATATCAAGCAAAAAAAAAATAATAATAAAAAATTCTGTGCCCTGGCAAGACAAAAAGTGAAACCTTTCGGAAGAGTGCGCGTGTCTCGTTACATCTGGAGTAAAACACAGAACACAGAACAAAAAGATTGACAGCCGAACAAGATGGTGGCAGTGTGATGGTCTTGGGTTGGTTTGCTTTTTCAGGACCTGGACAACTTGTTATAATTGATGGAACCATGAATTCGGCTCCCTACAAGAGAAACATGAAAGAAAATACACAGCCATTAGTTCATGACCTTGGACTCAAGCACACTTTGCAGCAGGACAACGATCTGAAGAGCATGAGCAAATCCACAGTCTGGACGGAGAAAAAGAAACAAAACTGAAGTCTTTTAAAATCTGTAAGGTCAAATCTGCGAGTGGTCAAACACTTCTTCATATTACTGTAAATAATCATCTAATACCAATGTGAAGTGGGTTAAGGTTTCGCCACACAATCTCTACAAAAGCAGTTATTGCAGTTTTGAGACTTTAGCCATTTCACTATGACAAATATCTGCTCTTCTTGTGAACCTGCGCTAGCCACTACCTGGAACACTAATGGTTTCAAATTCTTAACCGTCACTTTGAATCCCAGTCTAGTTTTAAAATTACTGAAGGATGGAGGTATTTCTAGAGATGACTAATCCAATTCCAAGAATCGGACCTTTTCAAAGGACTGGCAATGGAGTCTTTCAGTGAACTCAATTTCCAGCAGCTGTTGATGATGCACTAAGACTGCAAAACTTACACACGTTTCACAGTTTCTTATGAAAAACAAAACATAGGTTGGAGATATGTTTTTCGTCAGTGTGTTATGACTTATGTCACGTGACCAGCTCTGCACACTGTGTCTCGACAGCTGCTGATGAAGGGGGGGAGCTGAAACACTAGCCAATTCATTTTATAGAATTCAAAAGAAAAGTATGAAGCAAAAAAAACAAACAACAAAAAACAACAATTTGTTATGAACAAAATACAGAGCAAAACGACACTGATATGTGTTTAAAGTTAAATGATCAACAAGTCATACAAATAGAGCTTAAACATTCCAAAAATGTCCTTTGCACCAGGTTTAACACGACACAAAATGCGATAAGTTCTCAATCTTAAGTTCAGGGTTTAATCTTATGTTTCTGGTCTTTTTCGGTGAACAAATAATATTTTACATTTATTATGTCCAAGAACTTAAAACAGTAGCCAGTAACAAACCGATTGGAAATTTTATTATTTTTTTTTTATTTATTTTTTTTTCAAAAATAAGTGGCAGGCAATGGCTCGACAGATGACTTATTCAACAACATGTGCATGCCAAACTAAAAGGCCTGCACATTCAAGCAGGCCGTGAAGATCATTTTAAGTGCAAATATATTGCGGCTGTACCCCTTAGCGCTTAACCAAACTGTTTACGAAAAACTGTAAAAACTGTTGCACTATGCGGTAAATCATAGAACTTTGTAAAAAGATTAATGTTCTGCAGAAATTCCTCTTGGGACCAAAGTTTGGTTGATCTCCAAAAAAGAAAAAAAAAAAAAAGATTGAACTAGGACTCTGTATAGACATGTTCAATTGAGGAAGTTAAATTGTCAATTAGGTAGACATGCAATCATCCACAATGTAGGTAAATCAGAAAAAAAATACTTACTTGAACTTGCATTATGAGGTCAGTCTTATGGTTTGCACATCACCATCAGCACCCCTGTACTACAAACGTGCATCATTTTCTGTGGCAGATATTGATTATTGAACCAAGAGAATCAGACTAATAATCCGGACCTAAGCAAGAAGTAAATGGTAGATCCTAGGGCTGGGCAATAAATCAATAAGAATATATACCACAATAGACAAGTGATCAATATCAATAGAAATTGCATCTGATAGATTGTTCAATAATTTCACTGAAGTCCGATCCAGAACTGCAGAGGGTAGGCTTTAGCTGCTCAACTTTACTCAGCCAGTGAAGCAAAGTTGAAGACATCAGCATCTGGTAAGGTAGCAAATATTATATATATATATATATATATATATATATATATATATATATATATATATATATATATATAATATAAATTCTGTGAGTTTTTCCATAGACCTAACTTCTGTTCCAGTTATGACCTGCATTCATATTCCTGCCAATAACTGTGTAACTTACTTTGTAGTATCAAGCTATGCAGTATTTATTCAAGTCACACTTTTCATACTCAGTGAAGGTTAGACTTCGTTCGCATAAAGGAAGCTAAAATGACCTAGTCTAAATTCACACTGCAGGCCTTAATGCTCAATTCCGATTTTTGGTCAAATCAGATTTTTTTTTTTTTTTTTTTTTTTGCGTTGGCCTTTCACATTTGCAAATATATGCAACTTGCATGTGAGCTCCGTGTGAACTGCAAACAACCTAAGCATGTGCAGTAGACAGCCATGTAACTGCACACGTGTTTGAGGAGGTAAATATGGATGCTAATGCGGATACTGGTGTACCATTTTGTCTTTTCTTTATTTCCTCCAATGGGTATCTCACATCACCCGCTTCCCCATCTCCCCCTATTTTACCTTCAACTTCCTATCCACCTAAACCTTCTCAAAGTTATCCAACTCTTCAATTTGGCTTTGGTTACCTTGTGATAACCCCCATCACCTTTCATTTGTTCGCAGGAATACAGATAAGCAGACAGCCACACAACATCAGTCCCACAAGTGGAACCAATACTAAAAATATCTCTGCTATTCTTTTTAACGAAGCCCACTTTAAGAGGATCTGTCGAACACATACGCAAGCTCACAGATTTGAATAATAATACCTACATGTACAAAATATCAAAACTGCAATCTAAATTTGAATTTGTGTAAACGGGGTTTAAGAGGCCCTTCCAAGATGGAAACAAGAGAAAATATGCATTTTTACCCTGATTTGAGGCTGACAAGTGCGTCCACAACACCAGTTTGATGGTACTTCACCATGTACTGGTGCATGGCTGGGTAGTTCTTCCTGATGTTCCTCTCAGTGGACCCATTCGGGACTGTCCCAAAGCGGAACGGAGGAGAGTATGCGTATGGATTCTGAAACTGCGGTGGGACAAACAAACAAGAGCAGGATAGCATAACAAAGAACTGCTAACTAAAATGCAAAGATCACAGTTTGTACTGTGGATTTGTAGTCATAAAAAGTGTCTGAAATAAATTCCCTCGAAGTAAATTTACAACAAATACAGTACATATAAATCTGAACTTTGAACTTTTATTCAAATAAATCACAATGAGAATTAAAGGAGTTTGAGTGTTACGCAAAGGGGTGTTATTATGTATATTCCACCTTCAGTTGTTATGAAAATGCTGTATATATCAAACATCAGCTAAAAGAAAATTGGGGGGAAGGGTTGCAACAGAAATCCTAAGGGCATTGGGCTGATTAACTCAGAAGACTGTAGTTCCATCAGGTGTTTGCTAATCGCTGCTGCCACTAGTCTGGAGGAACTGAGTGGGGCGTGGGGTGCTCTGTGATTCAGAAGCTAATCTGGGGACTGCAGCTCCAAGGAAGAGCTTTAGGTGGTGCATTGTATGAGCAAGCGTTTAGGCACCCCCAAAATGTCTGCAAGAGCAGAGGCAAACATTTCTCAAAAAATGTGTGAAAGAATTAAACCAACGCTCCAAGAATGCTTCTGATGGGGGAATAACATTATGGCATCACATAATACTCAAAGAAGTCAATTTTTACATAAACCTCCCCTTTTTAAAAATGTTTTTGTAGCTCAACGAATGTCACTTATTTGAGTTTCTCTAGTTCTCAGTTGTCTAAACCTAAGTGTTGACTTTGTACAAAAGACAAGCACGTTAAAATAAAACCTAGCTCAGCTTTAATGTTGCGCTAATGGCTCAATATTCAGCCACTTTCAGAGTGTCCAGTTATTCCTCATTTTGGTCAGGCCCTTTCATTCCTCCCTCGTCTTTCTTGGTATGTTGCTTCCCACACAACCACATTATTCCGCTCTCTAACAAAACTGTCAGCCTGGCCCGTATCTGTCCACCTCGTTTGTTATGTACCATCTTGTAAGTCTTGGCGTTTCACTAGTCCTCAGTTGCCCCCTCCCCGCCTTCTCCCATGCCAGTTGATGTACCCCTTACTCTCTCAGTCCCTCCCCTCCTTCTCTCTCAGTGTCTGCCTGGTGTCAAAGCTCGTGACGTCATGCTTTCCCTTGTAGCACCAAGTCATACATCTGAAACTGTGTCCGTAGGAAATCTCTGCCCTTTACACTTATTTTTTTATTTGTTTCGCTACATCTTGTTTGACCTTTGCCTCCTGCATTTAAAATTTTCTTCCTCATAGCATGACCAGCTTTCTCTCTCTCTCTTTTTTTTTTACAGCAAAAAATGTAATATGCATATTTAGAGATGGATAGTAAACAAGTATCGCCATATTAGGTTGTAAATTTGATCATTCAATTTAATAATTTTAATTCACAAAAATGCCAATTAAACAACAAAACGTTTAATGATGTCGCCCTATTAAACTGGTTTGTATTCAGCATTTTCAGGCTGACCTACTGCTTAACAAACCTAAGCAACCGACGACTACTTAGCTGGCGTCAAATTGGTATCAGGTCGAGCGGGAAATTAGACAGCTTTACAACTCTGTACATTTTGAAAGTTGAGTACCCTTTAGGATTTCACCATGTTGTCAGAATAATCTCTTGTCACCAGTGTTTTTTTTTTTTTTTTTTTTTTTCACTCGGCCTGGCATATAAAGGTTGCAGTAGGAACGCAAGAAATCGAATGGCGATCTGCAGCAAAGCCGTCCTTTGGCTTGGGAGTCATCCCCGCATGGAGATTCCTACTTGTAGTATTTGTGAGATGTTTAAAAATAATGTAAATCTCACAGTTAAAATCTACTTAGACAATGAGGATTGAACAGACCAATGACTGCCCAGTTGGTTAATAATACTAAGTATGTGAAATGCTGATCTAAAGCAATAGTCTAAGTAGATTTTTAGTAAATTAAATCCTTTTCCCTTCAAATATTAAATTTAACACATGTCATTTATTTTCAAACAGTGATTAAGTCAAACAGAAAGAGAATTTTTTTTATTTTTTTTATTTGTCGTATACAGGTCTGAATGTCATACATATTTTCCCCATTGAACTGAAGATTTAACCTACAAATTCTTCATGAGAAATAGGAACTGGTTAATGCCAAGCACTTTAAATTGGGGAGAGAGGACACGTTGTGTAAAAAGTGATATTTTTGAGAGTGATGTCATTTTATAATGTCATTTCCTCTCCATAAATGTACCTGGATTGCTTAGATTTTTTCATGCATATTTACCCAAGTTTTCAAAATGATTCACAGCTTTTAATAGTATTGATCCAAATTAAGTGGATTCGCCTTTTATCCAATGTGAGACTTCTATTTTAGTCATGTAAACATGAAGTAAAAGACTTGAACCTTCACATGAATTTGGGAAAAACTCCATATTTTAACAAGCTCTTAAAAACGATACCCAGAAGTAAAACAAAACTATAAAGGTGAGAGCCATTGAAAGAGCAGGGAGTACACTTGCTGCACATTCATATTCATTATAATCGTCACATGAGAATCAGTGAAGTTAAGCTGGCTTTATTTAGAAAACAATTTTACCCTCTTCCTGACAAATTAAGATCCTAACAAGGGCCCAATATAGGAAGCATATTTACAGTATGTTATATGCAACTGTTCAATCACTAGCCCAGCTTCTTACTGACATTCTAAATTATTGCTAAGCAATATTTACAAAGTCCTTTCTCTCTCTTTTTTCTTTTTTTTTTTGCCCTTACCTTGTTGTCTGACAGCCCAGTGACTTGGTCAACAAACTCCTCCTGAATCATGAAGGCAGCCAAGTTGGCAGTGTACGAGGCCAGGAAGATGACAGCAAAGAAGGCCCACACCGACACTATGAACTTGCTGGTGGTTCCTTTGGGGTTTTGCACTGGCACAGAGTTGTTAAAGACCAGACCCCACAGCAGCCAAACGGCCTTGCCCATGGTAAAAGAAGGACCGTGGGGATCTGAGAGATAGAATAAGAGGAAGAGACAGATGTCAAAGTAAACGTAAGTTGCACGACTAGACATTATATAAGACATCAGTTTTTCAATGTTACTAACTTAATGATGGGGGCAAAAAGGGGGTTCACTGCAAACATACTGTTCATCTTAACGTTTTTTTCTACGTGTCTTAGTCAAAACCGGACACAGTTATGGCAGGAGAGACATGAGAAGTGCTACCCTTCTTCAAAATGTGGTTTGATCTCCTACATCTAAGGCAAGACACTCTTTTTATCCATTTCCTTCAAACAACAAAAACACTGCATTGTTTCATTATATATTTTAACATATTTGAAATAACAAACATAATATATCTCAATCACAGAAAGGGTGTTCTAAGACACCAGTTTGTTTTTCGAATATATAACCTTTTCTGGGTGTTACATTGAGCCTGCATTTAGTGCAACGTAATTGATATCAGTATGTTTACATATCTGCATAACATAAGTCTAAGCTAAGGTAACAACTTTAGGGTTGGTATTGTGTTTGCCTTCTTAAAGTCTGTCTTATTTTTACAAAACTAAGCAATTTAGTCGTTGCCCTGTGGTATTGACAGAGCTGGCTGACACAAGCACTGAAGATGCTTACGCCACTCTTAAGCTATTTGTGGAGCGTCACTTTGTGGTTCTCGGTAGAAAACTGAATGCAACACGACATGCAAACAAATTTGCATATCATGTTGAGCACTTTGCGTGTACTGTGGCTGTCGTTTGTTGCTGTCGGGTGACAAAAAAGCAAAAAAAAAAAAAAAATGTTAGAATCTCTCACCCTGTAATTTGAAAAGGATTTGACAGATTTAACAATTTAGCACCGTTTTGGCTCAAAGCTGAACTTTAAATTCCCACATTTATTAGAATGTTTAAAAACAAAAGTTGTGATTTTCTTGAAATGAAATAAATAATATTGAGGATATTTTTTTTCATAAAAAAGGTGCTTGAAATCAACCCCTCTAAATTATCCCATTTGCTGGTCGTATCATTGCACTGTAGCACACATAATTTCTGAACTGCAGTCTTCTGAATCAGGCGTCTTAAATCAAGGAAACATCTAAATATGCAAGTCAGTGCTCCTTGAGGACCGGGGTTGGGAAACTGCTTCACAGCTGCATCAGGAGAGGATCTCCTCTTGCACCCAGGAGCAAGGCGCACAGTATCTACCTGAAAAGTTAAATTAATTTGTTAATAAACTCTTGTATGTTGAAGTTGTCTGTGTTTATTCCATACTATCCTGCTATTCAGATAACGTGAGTCCTGGCTTTGTACCTTCATCTATTATTGTAAAACCCAACCCTCATCGGAGAATTTATATACAATAACTGAGACTAATCTATTGTTTTCTTGATAATCAAATGGTGTCCAACTTAGTAATTTTGATGTGAATTACTAGTTTTACTCATAATTGCCCTAAGTAGTCATTTATAGTTATTTATAGCTACAACTAAACTCTTATTGCTGCACACCATGCAATTTCATACACTTCCAAAACCTGTTATTTTACATAATTTCTTGCGAAACCTAAAGCTAATGTGCTTTGTTAGCAATTGAGAGTTGCTAACAAAGCAATTGTTAATACTATAATAGTGTTAGCAATTGCTTTGGACCATGAGAGTATTTCACTCGCAGTGCAAATTCAGCTAAAAGCAGTTGAGGTTTGTAAATGTCACTTTAAAAACGTTGATTTCTCCGGATTGCCTGCATAGTTTAAGAACATTTTTATCATATCAAGTCACCCGCATTACAACTTGCTTAGGGCGGCGTGGCAAAAAATGCTTGTATATTAACAGACTGAAAAGCAAAGACACCAAACCTCAAATACATAGTTTGTAAGCACCGATCTTTCTAAAGTTAGGTTTGCACCGATACAAATATGTAATTAAGGAGTTTCTGTCGAGCTCACCTTTTCCTTGTGCCAGATTTCTGTTAAAGCCAAGAGGACTGATGTACTCAAACATGAAGACAGCCATTGCAGTCACCAGTAGGAGCATCACAAACATCATCACCCACACTGATGCACTGAATGGCTCTGCAAAAGACAACATTTCAGGCACAGGTGTCAATATCGACACTGGTTAAATCAAAATTTCTCACACGTTTTGCAGTGAACTGGAGGAATTAGATCGATTTTGTGAACATGGAGGAACCAAGAGAGTGGATTGCAAGCTGTGCCCTGCGCATTTAGAGCGCTTACAGAAAACCTCATATACTTGCATTTGATTATGCGAGGCACAGAATAGTGTAGGAAGCCCTGGTGTCAGCACTCCTGTCCTCCCTCTGAGCTCACAACTCTGCTGCAGAGATTAAACTCGGCTTTTGTGTATGGAGGAGTTGGGGGGGACTGTTGGCATAGTGCAGAGCACTGAGTGAGGGCTGTGCAAGAAAAGTGTGTCTGCTGGCAAGCAGCCATTTAAGGGTTTTCCTGGTAAGCCCCCATAATGGCCACTTTCACAGCACTAACTGCGAGCAACATCCATGTCAGCGTGTGAACCTGGGTGTGAGTTTGTGTCCGTGTGCAGCAAACTGGTGTCGGCCTGTGCGTTTCAGCTTGCAGGAATTTTTTTTTCTTTTTTGCTAAATTCCGTTTGCAAGATCGGCGGAGTTTTAGACACGTCTTGTGCTCAGGAAGTTGCTGAGAAACTCAGCAGCAAACTGAGCCGATGCGGCAGGAGTTTTCATCGCCCTTTGGTTAATTTCTGAAGTGTCGTGAGAAAGCAATTGAGCTGATTCCTCCAGATCAAAGTATACACACACACACACACACGCACTCACACACACACACACACACACACAAAAAATTTATAAAACTGACAGCAGTTACCGAGAAAAGCTGATGGCGAGACAGTTCCATTACTACGTGAGACCATGACGCTGATCCCAGTTTCTACGAACGGGACGGAGAAATCGATGACCTCAGAACGCTCCTCATTGATCGTCAGAGATCCGACGGCCATGACGGCTTTCTTATAGACCACCTTTTTGAGAAGTGGCGAAGAGGGAGGAGTGCAAGGATTGAGGAGGGATGGGGGGATGTGATTTTAAAAAAAATATGGAAGAAAAATAGCAAAGAGCAGAGGATAAAGAACATTAAAGAGACATTATTTAAATTAGCTTACAATGAGTTTCCACATTAAACGTGCTTTTATAGACATCGATGAACATTTAGACGCTCAAACGGTAAAACATGCAGTTTATCATTATGTATCCAAAAATATTATTGAATATATCATTTATGTCACTAATTTGGTAGAAAAAGTCAAACTCGCAGGATTGTTACACACAAAGTGATATATTTTGAATGTTAGATTTTTTAGTTTGTTAAAATACAAATAGGTTCTATTCAGAATTTGCTAAGATTTCTTTATTTTTTTGGAGCATGTAAGATCAAATATTGTTTTTTTTTTCTTTTTCTGATAGCACATACTTTTAGACGTGATCTTTTTTTCTTTTTTTTTGCACAAAGACTTACCTCTCCCACCATCCCATTCCAGACATTGTTGATTTTCTTGCCATGCTTGCCATTGGTTACCAGGTACAAGTCATACGTAAATTTGACGTACTTGGCAATCTTCTTCAGAATGTCGATGCAGAAGCCTTTGCAGCACTTTTTGATATACGTTCCACCAGCCTCAGTTGTGTTGCTGCAGAAACACAAAAATAAAGACCACCATTACAACTCAATTACGCAACGCTTTGCTTGGTAACAGACGCTAAAAAAGAAGACTTGCTCAGAGAGGAAAATGCTAATTGAGTCGACCATCTCTCCTTTTTCCTGGTTAATCACACACCGATGGCTCTAATTCTGGTAACTGCAGAGTCAACCTCTTCATTCATCCTTTTCAAGTTTTAAGTTTCGATGACTCTGCCTTTGAAAGACAGAGAACTTTAAAACCAAGTTCTTTCTCTCCTTCCCCCTCTGTGTCTCCAGTCAAGGAGGACTTGACGGCATTGCATCTGCAGCGTCTTGCCATCTGTGTGTGTGAATCTGAGAGCAGAAGAGTTCAGAAACGTCTGACTCACACACGCACACATGAACGCATGCATACGCGCTCAAACACAAACCCACGCACAGTGTGCATTCACGTTCAAGAGTTCCCTTCAACTTTCAGCCACCTGGGAGTCTCATTTAACTTTTAAATGTGTGCTAATTAGAGGACGCCGACCTCGTCCTTTGATTTAACATCCAAATTTGACAAAGAGTGAGAGAGCAAAAAACAAAAAAACAAAAGAAAAAAAAAAAACTTGCAGGCTGTGACTCTGCAGTTTTCAATCTGTTATGTTTCACCAAAGTGCACCTGGGAGTTCATGGCCTCCGCTCCAAAGTCTAAATGCCAACAATCAGGGAAAATTGTATCAAAGTGGCTTTGCTTACATTTCTGCTGCTTTGATTGAACAGTTGCCTCACTAAAACTGGACGTTTGGCAACCATGTTACCTGGGGGCTGGGAACTCTGTGCAAAATAGTTAAGAAACAGAAAATAAGGATAGATACTTCATCAGAAAAGTATCTCTTTTATATTTTCATAGAAGCTACTACGACTCAGAGCTTCGGTGTTTAGCTCATCCCTAAACAGAGAAACTGTCAAAGCTATCTATGTTGTACGTTTGTGTTGAGTAATAATGTTTTAATCTCTCTTTCCTTGAAAAAGCTGCTGATTAAGATTTTTTGCCGAGTTCAACTGGGCACTCTTTGTGTTTTCTTAATCTCCTTTCTTTTTCTTCCAATCCCCAGACGTCATGACTTTCCTGTTAAAATCAGTAGTGCACTTCCTGCGTCACTAAATCATGGATCTGGAAATTTTGTTGCAAAGTCACTGACTTGATACAATGGGCTTTCTCCGATGTATTTCTTTTTTTTTTTTGTAATTAGCATCAGAGGACCAATGAAAGTTGACTAGGACTTATACATTTGACTAAACTGTCTGTACATAACTGGATCTAGAATTGGATTGTAGTGAAATTATGTAGATCGATAAATAAATTGTGATCAATTAGATCTATTTTTCAAGTGCCTTGAAATAAGATTGGTTTCAAATTGGTTACAAACAAAAATGAACCGAGTAGATGTGGAAATGCATGCAAGTTTATGAAATTCGGAATAACAAAGTGAAGTGAAAGGTGATGTTAGGTTATTTTAAAACAGCTTCTCCAGGCACAACCAAGAAGATGGAACAATAAAAAAAGAAGAAAAACTTTTATCTGAGAGATTTTAGACACATTCACAGATTCTGTGGTTTAAGTAACTTATGAATTACTAATAAGAATAGCATTTTTATGCAGGGGAAGCACAAGACTAAGGGAATAAAAGAAAACTACATCTGGTTCTGGCTTGTTCAGAGTTTCATACAAGAGAATGAACTTTTAAAGCAGCCGTCATGAACTCATTGTAGTTCAGGGAGTTAGAGCCTTTGATGTAACAGATGCTGTTTGTGAAGTTGTCAGGCCAACTTCACACAGTAACACTATTGGGCTGAGGGTAGGAGGGGTCTCCGGAGAGGGCATTGAAGGCCTGCGTATGATTGTGTGTTTCACTTAGTATATAGCTTTTTTCTCAGGGAAAGCCTGGATGAGTGAATTTAGATTTTTGCATGCATGGATACCCTTCAAACCCCAATCCAACTCTTCTGCTGCCACTCCCCATTTACTGCTTCCTTCCTCCCTTCCATCCAGCCCTCTTTCTCCATCCAAATGGACACCACGGATGCTTGAGTGGGAATTGCTCCGTGGGAGGAAGGAACAGGGCTGAATGCACTGGTCTGTGAGTGGACATGTGGCAACAGGGAGCGTTTATGAACTTGTGAATGTGCGTTTGCGTTTCTCCTTGGAGATGCTTTATCCTCCGCCCTACTTCACAGTGATTCTGGATGATAATCTCTTTCAGCCTCTTTCCCTTAGACCCCCATTACTGTTTAATCATCTCTCCCGCTCCGTGCGGCTCCGTCTGTGCGGTCACGGCGGAAACCTGAGATACAAATGCAGCGTTTTGTGTTGATTTGTGGCCATTTTTAATGGTGTGCTAATGAGAAACTAAAGAAATATTTCATGAATTCCAAAGAAGTGTTGGCCAATTAGAATGTTTACATTGCTGACCTTCATTGATATTAAGCAATGCAGTTCATTCTGGTTTGATAAACGTCAATCTCTGGGCCATATCCTGTTGGATTTGAACTTGTCTTTGTAAAAACTAAGTACTACCTTTGTCTTGAAGCTTTCTGCATCGCAGAAAACAGACCTTTCAAATTCTAACTTTGTAAAGTGTTACATTTTAAAGACTTATTTTAAATCCACATTTCTCGAGCCATTTGAGAGAGACAATTTGTGTAAGTAGTTGGCACCGTGTACAGAAATTTCTGATCAGAACAGTATAGTTAAGCAGGAAGTGAATGATGCGTAGCAGCTACAGCTAACGGTCTGAGAGTCTTGCTTCATGTCGTCTAATTTTACTCTGTGGAGAAAAGACATATTAGCAAATTACCTAAAAACCCAATTGGTCCAGCATCGGCCAAGTTGTTTAGTGACACGGTCTCACAATGTCTTTGCCTTGAAATCAGCTAAAAGCAAGAGCTTGTTGGGAGACAATTTGTTAGGAAAGGAAGTAAACTGCTTAGTTCAGCAGTTGCCTCCACTTTCAGTGGGAGGAAAGAAGCTGCTGCATAGGTCGAATACTGCACCTGTCACTGCTCATGACGGGGAAGAGAGCAACACAGCAACAGACCTAAAGTTGTTAGAAAATTGATCATGCACTTTCAACACCTTAAATTGTTTTTGGCTATTTTTGACTTACAATATAAAGTGTTTTGCAAAAGTCTCCATACCCTTTGAACCAGACAGGTCAACACAAAGTACCAATTCATACAATATTCGAGCTGAGGATACTGTTGTACTTTTATCGATACGTCACAGCATTTCTGATCCACGTGGAAAAAGTCTGATGCACAATCTATGCCAAGGGTTTTTACAGCAAATCGAAAAGACAGCAATCGGACTTACTCTTTGATATGCTTCCTGCAGGGCACAGAGTTCCTCATACAGGTGCCAGTGAGTCTTTCAACATCCTCCACAATAACAAAGGGTTTCTCCTCCAAGGTGACAATGGACAGGTGGTTGTCGTCCAGCTCGGCATCGCCAAACGAGTTGAACCGTGGCCACACCGGGTACTTTAGTGTCAGGCTGCGATTGTCAAGTTTTCCCATCTGTTGACAGGGGGAGGAGAACGTAGCATGAAAACAAACAGATTACGTGCAGAAACGCCCTCATCAGCAAATGTGCATTAGAGAAATGACTGAATTCAGTGAATTTACAAATCTAAGTTGCGTGTGCTTCCGTTCCTACGGCTGCTGTCTGGTTTGGACCTTTGAACCACTGGGCTTGATTGTAAGAGGATACAGGCATACGATTGCATAATCAAACCATTTCGGATAGATAGTATTCTCTCTAAGAATAGATGTTTAAATTCTTATCATTTTACTGTTATTTTTTTTTCCAGATCATCCAGTGGCAATATATTACTCACAACTTTATAGGTAATCGAAAATGTGTGTAAGAAGAGGCTAAATTTGAAGAAACAGCAGAGAGATACCAGAATGACAGATGCACAGAGAGTAGGTGGAAAACGTCATATTAGGGTTCTGCTATAAATGCAAACCTATACTGTATGTCCAAAAATGAAACAGGGGGCAGTGTTCCACGATAGAAGCTCTGAGGCTGGTTATATTTCAGAAGGTTTCCAGAGATGTGATGTCACCGATTCCCCTATGGAAGACCTTTACCCTTTCACGTCTCTCTGTAAATATCTATGTGTGGGGGGGACCTGCGAGTTTATGCCTTACTGTTGGATAGAGAAAAGGCAAGGAGGAAGAGAAAAACAGCATCAGACACAAAGCTTTGCATGACCTATTATATTAATAATATAGTAGAGTAAATAAGAAAGACACAAAATTCCCCTCTATTGCAGATATCTTGCCTCTATCTCTTCTTCCTCACTGTCTCCTGACTTCATATAAGCCTGAATGCAGAGTCATCTCACCGTGTTTCTATTGTAGATTTGTTTAACCTCATCATAGGAATTTGCAGAGAAACCACACACTTTTTGCTAGCATAACACACTTACAGTATAATTCTTCTAATTAGTAATCTAGAAGCTTAAGTCACTCCTTCTTTATCTGTTCTGATGTCTGTCAGAGATCCCTGTCCTATTGGAGACAAAACTGTCAGGATGATGATTTTTAAGCTGAAGGATTTGAGGCGAGTCTTTCGTCTACATTTACCACTGACAGTGAAGATGATGCTACAACCATTGATGCTACAACCATTTGTTTAATATTCTTACGTTTGAAAGCCTCACCTGGACTCTTACGAACAAATGTTTTGTCTTTGTAGCAAAGAAGTCCAACCTTTGCTTTATCTGACGATAAAAACCTTTCCTCCAGAAGGGCATTTTGTTCGTCTACGTGACAAATAAACTTTATTTTTTTTCATGGATATCAGTGTAACATGTCTATATTCTCTGGATGGTGAGAATTGCCTGATCACTTTACCACATACAGGAATGTTGGAGTTGTTTAGTTTGGATAGGTGCCTAATGTGACACTATCAGAGATGATTCACTTACATATTCAGGAACAGATACGTTTAAAGACAAAAGTTAAAAAGCTTGGTCAACATTTCTTCAATGAAGTAAAGTTAGGATTCATCTTTTTTTGGAGTCCATTTGTTGAAAAATTCTAGCCAACCTACCAGCTGTTTGTCGGCTATTGTATCTCAAATTAGTAGTTGTGTATTTTTTATTCCTTCTGTTTTTCCAAAGCACCCACTTGGCAGTTTTACACACATGACTCACGGATCAGTTTTAATCCGGCCTCCCCTTTGACCCTGCAGTCACAAAATGGTGCCTTTACCTATGAACACATAAAACACTCGCACGCTGCCGGTTCTAAGCCCACATGCTTGGCTAAGTCATTAACAGGCAAGCAGAGAGGAGAAAATGAAATTAGCATTTTAATTGTTTTGCTTTGAGTGGTTTTCTACCCTTTGACAGGGATTAGAGTCTCCTCTCCGCTGTTAGCCTGCAAGACTGTCAACAGCTCACTCTGCTGTCAGACGCAGCCCTCAGAGTGCATGTGTGTGTGTGTGTGTGTGTGTGCATGTGTGTGTAGGAAATTGTGTCAAAGAGGGAGAGAAGCAGGACAGTATGTCGAGGTGCGGTTCTCTGATGTGTCACCTTCAGTCTCCGGGGATTGTCCGCTTTTGGCTATCTGTCTTAGCCCAGCTGTTTTGCATTTCACATGTGAGTGACTGCGTCTACAGACACACATGCTTGTGTCAGTAGGAAAAGGGACTAGTGATGAAGGAAACAGCAGTGAGGCTTAGGGTGAATCAGAAAGACAAAAGCACTGGCACATCACTGTGCGTCACAACTACAGTAATGATTATAAATACTATCGTCATTTTTCACGGTGTCACATTACATTACGCAGATGCCTTACAGAAGTCTGAACTCGCCATGATATATTTCCTGTTTGTTTATGCATAACTTAATGCTTTTGGAATCACATAAATAACCTTAAAAAAAACTTGCCGAAAAGGGTAGATCCGCGTAAGCTGCATTGATCTGTGCCTCAAAAATGCCTCCAAAAAATTTATCTCAGACTCAGAAAAATAAACAAACAGTTTTTCACCTAAGTTGCATCAAGCTATACGTTACCCAACATCTTCCCCATCACATTTTAGGGTTTGGATATAAAGGTTGCATTCTTATCGACAGTGTCCAAAAGCTGCTTGTTTCTTTAGCAGTAATTGGTAAATTAGTCAAACTCAGTAGATTGATGATAACTATAAACATTCCTGCATTTCACCTTAAATTGTGCTTATTTAATACTGAGGTAAAATATGATCTATTGTTGCTCATTGCATATATGATAACTGGCTCACTGTAATATGTACTGATGCCAATCAGGATGCTAATATGTTGCACATTGTTCATTTTATGAATTTGCTAACGATCCAATGTATACGTACACATTTATCTGCAAGGTTGATTCTAACGCTAAATATTATTTTTCATAAAGGTGCTGTTTCCACTGGGACAGATTAAAACAGCACCCAACTTCATTTTGAACACAATTTAAAGATAAACTGTGTGAATAAGGGACAGATGAACAGAACTGATGTTGCATCTGGATTGGACCAAGCTGGACTAAAAAGCAGCAAAGTTCAGCAGCTCAATTGCACAATCAGCAAAAGAGATGAAGGAGACAGAAAACCGCAATGACTGAACAGACCACCTCTCTCTAATCCGTCGCTTCTTTTGGACGCCTTTTCCCGCAGAATGCACATTATCGAGATTTCCATTGGCGAGTTCGCCGCTTTCTTCAGAAATTAACCCAGAACCGCCGTCAAGTGGCGAGATCTCTTTACAATCACGTCAACTTAACGAATGTGCTGAAAGCATCGAGGCAGCGAGGCATGACAGCGTCAGAAACGGCCAAACTCATTTTGTGAACAAATGGGTCTGAAGACTGAAACGAAGGTGAGAAAGTGGTTTTCACAACATGGTGCGTGAATTCGTCAGGTGTGTTCACTTCACCCGTCAGTGGTCGTAATATTGTGCCTGTTTGGTGCACTCATGCAGGACTCTCATGCACATCTATAACAGACCTGACAGGCACAATTGAACAATCTTTGATCAGTTCAGTCAATAGGATAATCTAGTGACAAAGTGAGTCAAATGTTCTTGGAAGACACTTTCCAAAATGAGAGGATGAGGAGGAGGAAGATAGAACAAAGAAGCTGACTTCAGCATTCCCTCTCTCTGTCCTGCTGCTCTCATCATCCCTCCTTCCTTCCCCAGTGTCTTCTTCTCTCTAATTAAAGAAAGAAGGGTTATAAATTAATGCCCAGAAAAGGAGGAGGGCTTGAGTTTATCGACCGTCAGAGAGAGAGAGAGAGAGAGAGAGCGCTGAATCTGCTTGCACATAATACCAGACATTACATGCACACAATGCTAAGACTGTTGCAAAAAATGTACGGATGTGATCTGACAGTCAGGCCAGTGGGAGGTTAAAGTGATAGGGCCGGCGGGATTACTAAAGAGGCTATCGCATTATCACCGGTCAGAGATTAAGAGCCACGACAGACCAATTTTTTTATGGACAATTTTATTGTAATCTTCAGTGCACTGCATTTTGATGTCAAGTTATTTGTGACATTTGTTCGAAAAAAAAAAAGATTTTAATAAAGTATATTCTATTTTATGTACCAATTCTTTAATTTTTTTTTACCACTTCAGCTTTCTACAGTGCTGTATTCGACTGTCAAATTCTGTAATGCACCAAAAACCGAGCTAATCAAAGGCGGAAAATATTATAAAATCAACCAAAGCATAAACAAAAATTATGTTCAGGGCTCCTCCTCTGAGCACCTTCTCGGTGCCAGTCTCACGGGGAGAGTTATCACTGTGGCAAGATGCATTATGGGAGAATGAGTTCCTAATAGCGTGGAGAAACCCATTCAGTCATAAAACAGTATCTGTCACTCCTGTCAGACAAAATTACGTCGGTAAAATGGATTCTGCTTCTCCCGCTCCAGCCCCTTGCTTTGAGTGTTCCTCCGCGCACGCGAGGCGCGGGGGTAGCTCTGTGTGTGTGTGTGTGTGTGTGTGTGTGTGTGGGTGTGTGTGTCGCGTCCGCCGGCTTGCGTCACGGTGCGCGTGCGAGCCGGCGTCTGCGAGTGCAAAACGAGGGCACAGAGAACGAGGAAGAGTGAGAGAAGACTCTAATCACTGATTTATACTGTTTTTCCCTTTCAAGTGCAGTTCTTTCATTGAGATTCAAAGAACGGTGACGGCTGCATGTAAAAAAGCCTTCCTGTGATTATGTGTCGACCTGGAAGTGTGGGTGTGTGCGCACGGCTTCAGTGTGTGTGTGTGTGTGTGTCTGTGCTCCATATTGTGATTCTTCAAGCACAAATCCCTTGTTGTCTGTAATAATTATTTTGTGAACTGGATGCAAACTCTGTGGCAGTTTCAGAGGCAATCTGAATTCTCCATCCACTGTGCTGGAACAAAAGTTGCTTTATAAGGTAAGTACTGTCTTCTCATTTAATTAGTAAAGTTGCATACAAAACACAAACTTTTTTTGAGGTTGCGGTTATTATTTATGACTTTTTTAGCCATAATAAAGCAAAGTGCACCGTTTTATATATGTAAATTTGTACATATGTACTTTGTTTATGGACTAGACTGTCTGGTTAAAAATGCAATTTCCAACAAAAACAAAAAGAGAAACAAAAAACCGGTCGCACACTCATTGGACCACCTTTAACTTTGACTATTTGCTGTGGCATTGTTTTGATGAACTTCTGCAACGCCACAAGATTTATTTCCATCCAATGTTGCATTCACTTTCCCCAAGATCTTGTTTTAATGATGGGAAAGTGCATCCACTGTGCAAAGCCTTCTCCAGATCTTCGAACAGATTCATTGTAAAAAAACAATTCATTGATGAAAAAGCTCCGTCATTCTCCATCTTCAGGTTTTCACCCGAACCTGGACTTAATCAACCACCGTTACAGGCATTTCTCTAACTTGGGTAGCTGGGTAGTTGTCATTGTGGCACCTAAACGTATATTTAAGAAATTGCTGAAATAGAGGAATTTTAATGCACAACCATGAAATTAGGATGGCTCAAATAAGAGAAAGCATCGAGTCAGCAGCAACTTTTTGGAAGAAAATGTATTACTGGTTAGCAATGTGAGAGAAGTCGCAGCAGCTCAAACCCAAAAGAACGTAACAGGTGGAGCTCCTGTCAGCTAAGAACAGGAAAATTACACAGTTTCACCAAAATTAGACAGTAAAATCCTGGGAAAGCAATGGATGGATCTGTCTGACTTTACAACGATGAGGGTGGCAGTGTAATGGTGTACTGCAAGTTTTTGGGCACACTTTAAGCATGGTTTCAAATCCACAGCTGAGCGTGCCTTAAAGTACAAAACCCCTACCCAAGTATACCCAAGTCACCAAATCTCAAGCTAGTAGCATGCCTGTAAGATGGCGGAATGGGAGAATTCACAAACCTGCATCAGGTTACCCGAAATGGTCCAAAATTTCTCAGGAACGTTTCTGGTACAATTTTGACTCTACTCCTTGAACAACTATGCAGCATAAAGAGGAGTTCAACACAGTCCCAGCAAGGTGTCCCCATTAAAGTGGCTTAAGAGGATCAAATACCTTTTCATTATTTTAACGTATGGGGATTATGCTAGATGTCCCTGAACTTATTAAGTTCAAACCACAGCAGTAGTTTAACCGTGTTGCAGGGAAAAGCACATGTGGATGTTTCAAACATGTGAGCGCTAAACACAGAGCTTTCACATCCTTTTGATTAACATGCCTCATGTTTCACTCTGTTTGCTACGTTGCCCGTGTCATTCTCTCACCCATTTCCTCTCACTGCCTAAGCCAAACTCTTTATCTCTGTTCCTTTGCCGATCATTTGGTGTTGCACTCTTTTCCCCAAGAAAACACATTCGATATTTTTAGTGCATATCTATATTTTAGTGCATGCACAGATATATATATAAAAAAAAAAAAAAATAAAAAATTCCCCTCTCACCCTCCGTGGGTGGCCTCTTTCATCCTCTGAGCTCAGGTCCTCTACCAGAGGCCTGGGAGCTTGAGGGTTCTGCGCAGGATCTTGGCCGTGCCCAGAACTGCACATTTCTGGACTGAGATGTCTGATGTTGTTCCTGGGATCTGTTTGAGCCACTGCTCCAGTTTGGGGGTGACTGCCCCGAGGGCCCCGATGACCACAGGCACCACTGTGGTCTTCTTTTCCAGTTCCTCTCTGAGGCCCTGGTATTTCTCCAGTTTCTCCTTTTTCCTGATGTTGTGGTCACTTGGCATTGATACATCCACCACAACGGCTTTCCTCTGTTCTTTATCCACCACCACAATGTCCGGTTGGTTCGCCATTACCATCTTGTCTGTCTGGATCTGGAAGTCCCACAGGATCTTAGCTCGGTCATTCTCCCCCCCCCTTGGGGGTGTTCCCCCCTTCGATCTCAGGGCTTCCAGTCCATATATATATATATATATATATATATATATATATATATATATATATATATATATATTTTTTTTTTTTCCCCCCTCTTGATCATCATCATGCAATTCACGTTTTTTTTGCCACTGATTTCTGGTGCATGGATTGAAAATTACGTTTCCACTTTTGGATGCTGGTGTCTCTCTTTGGGGTTTCGGAGAAATCTTCTGCACCACAGAGAAGTGGCACTGATCAATTTCATAGACTCTCTGTTTACGACACACTACTTGTCGTCCTCGACACACTTACAAAGGTTTGTGTGTATGTCGGCGTGAAATATGACAAAGCTGCTCCAAAAAATAAAAAAATAAAAAATTGTCGAACACCGTGCGAGTTGCTCCAAACAAAGGACACACAGGAAGATATAACCTAAAGTATATCAGACTGATTGCAGCACAAGATTCACCAATAGCGTTTCTGTTGATTACCGGTGCTAAGCTGCGAAAAAAAAAAAACCGCCAATACGCCCATGCACACACAAGAGAGCGGTGACCCTTTGCCAACCTGATAACAGACATCTCAGGTTTTGATTAACTCTGCTCTGAGGTGCTATAAGAGAGCCCAGCATCAGAGTGTGCGGATTATTGGGCTTAGAGACGGATAGTGAAGGAGGACAGGAAGGAGGAGGAGGGTGGAAAAATATGGAACTATAGAGTAAAAAATAAAGACTCAGAAAGGAAAGTGAGTGCAGGAGATTTTTTTAAAAATGCCAAAAAAAAGTTGGATAATCTGACAGAGGGGATGAAAACAAACCCAGGATAAAACTAATTTACAATCAATCTTTCTTTTCTTGCTATTAAGCTCTTCTCTGTGTCTACACCGCTTCTACTTAGACTCTGAAACTTCTCCCTTCTCCCATTCCACAGCGTGAATTATTGCAGTATTAACTCTAAGATATTTGAGCAAGTGTGAGGAAGCCCAATGTAGGTATAAAGATGCATGACTGCCATTTAAAGTCCATTACAACATCTAGAAGAGCATGTACAGTGGCCATTTATCAAACCGCCTTCCACACACTAGTCCTTTAAGGAAATCCATAGCCTTATTTTTAAAAGAGGTCACTGATCGACGACGAATTTCTTGATAAACAAAGTTTCAAATACAATGTTAATTGATTCTTCCTGGGTTTGCTGTGCACTAGTTTTTTTTTTGTTTTTTTTTTCCTAAGATAACTTGCCAGTTTAAGTTTGAGCATGAGGTAAAGAGATTTTATGTGTTGGTTTCTGAATGTACTGAAAGAAAGTGAAAATTATTATAGAAATTCCATCCAGTTTATGAAAGCGTTAGGCACAGAGACATGAAGCCAACAATTTAGCACCCTAAAGTGTAATACTATTGTTGGCCAGTAGAGGCGACCTTCCTTAACAGAACAAAAACCTGACTAAAAATGTCCACTTATATTATTAAAGCTTGATTAGCCAAATATATTCTTCACACAGTTGGTTAATGGCAACTTGCAATACTGTCTGTGCTCTTAAAACAATAAAATTAATGCCCTTCAAGAGTCTGTCCCTTTCAACTATTTTTTTTTGTTCACTGCAACAATCTCAAATTCAAAGCATGACAAAAATATAAGTTGCTCTCACACTCCCGCCATGCATGTAGACATATTTAGAATTTACACATATTTTCATATTTACAAAGTTGGTTTTTTTCCCCCCAAAGATGAAAAGATGTTACATATTTTGAGAAACTCTAAGTTCCTGTCACATGTATTAGGTAAGTGTACCATTGCTATGCCCCGGTGCATATATTGCATGTCCACATCCAGTCAAGATGAGATTAATAATTCTTCATCAGCACGGACAAAGCTTCTGCATAATAAAAATATGAATCTAAATTACATCAATTTATTGTGAAATACTTGCATAAATAAATTTCTGATAAGAAAGCAATCCGTAGCAGCATGCTTCAAATGCAATGCTAAACTGGTATTTTGGAAGTTATTGGAAATTTGCATCTTGTAGTAAATGTAGTCTGTTTGCTGATAACACTTTCATGCTAGGTTTTTTTTTTTTTTTGGTGGAAATAAAAATAATACTTATACATTTACTAGATTTACGTAAAACAGGTTTATCCCATATAAATAACATTTTAGCTTTAATAGCACTAATCCAGTGGACTTGGAGGTTGACACTTCTTGATGAAGGGTATAAGACATGCAACAGGAAATCCAGCTTTCTCCAAGGCACAGGCAAAATTGTCAAATAGCCTATTATGCAAACGTTCAAACTGAACTCCAGCAATGTGCATGTGAATGAAAAATGGCACCAAGATTGGATAATGATGTTTTGCATAACATGAGGTGAGAACTGCAGTGTGCAAGCAATACTAAGCCAAGCGAAGATACATGCGGGCCTTACCTTTTCCCACTCTCTCTCTTTATTGAGAACAATGACAACAAGCTTTGGGTATTCTTGGTAGCCATCCTCTGTGAATGACAAGTCCCTGCCATCCCATGTCACGTTCATCATGTACCTGAGAGCGAAAGGCGTGGATGATTAAGAGGGACAGGGGGAGACGGTGAGAAGGGCAAGAGAGGAGGAGGGAAAAAATAAGCACAAATTATCATCTGAAACATAAATTTACTGTCTACAACTTGTGCATTTTGCTTGGACTATCACTATCTTTCAAAATTAAAGGATTTAAATAGTTCAAAAAATATGGAAATAATAGAAAGCCGTTTTCAAATCAATATTTAATAAAAGAAAGAAAAAGCAATCCAAATTATTATGGGCATGTGAGAAATATATATGAATGTCCTCGTTAAATTATGTATTAAGTGTGACAAAATTTTATTTTATTTTTTTTACTTTATTAACTTCATTAGACAAATCCAGGCCTCTTTGCAGTCTGGTTTGCGTAATCAAGACAACACTTAAACAGAACCTGTCTGACTGCATGAAGATCACAAAAAGAAACAAGCCCAAATCTAAAGAAATTCAAAAACAAATTACAAACAAACTTGTTGACATCTAAAACCCAGGAAAGTGGTATGAAGACTTTTCTGAGGTCAGTCGGAACAACTGTGAAGCTTTTCAGAAGGGTCCAACCAACAAAAATTTCTCCAAGGACGTCACAGAATTTATGATTTCAAAATGCAAAAATGTGAACTAAACCACCGTAGGCCACATAAACCTGGGTCAAGGTCAGTGTTCACAATTCATCAATCAAAAAAGACACTGCTGACCAAAAGACACTCTTTTGAAAGGTCTAAGGCTAAAATCACTGCTGACCAAAAACTCACTATAATCAATCAAAAACATTTTCATGATCCCTCGCAAAATATTATTTAGATGGGCAGGAGAAAATCTGAACATTTTAGACAGAGTATGTGTTGCTAAATCTGGCATAAACAAAATTTCAAATTGTCAGTCAAACATAGTGGTGGTGTCGCAACGGTCTAATGCTGCTTTGCTTCTTCTGGACCCAATTGACTAAAAGTCATTATTGGAACCATGAATTTTGGTGTTAAGTAGAAAATACTGAAGCACAATCTCCTGTCATTGTGTTATGGCTTTGAAATGTAATAGTATTAGTATTATGCAGAAGTTAAAATGATCTGAATAATAGTAATAATAATAAAAAAATACAAACAATAAAGCATAAAAACCAAACAAAGTTTCTAGCTCTGGAGGGGCCTAATCAAAGTCTAAACTTAAATCAATTCGGGATGCTAAGATATGACCTTAAACAGATGTTTCTTGATTTAAAAATCTGTCTAAATTAAAACAAGGAGAGCGGGGCCAAAACGCATTGCCAGTCATTACAAACGTTTAATTTGCAAATGTCACTGCCAAGGGTAACACAGCCAGCCAAGCCCGGCTTATGGGGCAATTACTTCTTCACAAAGAGCCAAGTTGGTTTGGATAGGAATTTTGTAGCTTAAATACATTTCAATCAAAACTTGAAATAGCTTTTTTATATTCATTCAGGTTATCTTTGGCAGTTATTACAATTGTATTTTGTGATGTGAACAAAATTGAATAAACGTGTTTTAGGGCAAATCATTTTTCATCTACTGATTTATGAAAGTTTTTTTTTTTTTTTTTGGCCTTTTGATGTAAAGCAATAAAAAAAATGTGGATGTTTTCATCTGAATGAGAGTGAGGATTCCCTGAGATTGATGTATTCCTAATCTGACAGCATGTACTCAAGAATGACATCTGCACTGTGGCGGCTTACAGATAGGAAGATTATTGATCTAACTCAAGAAATATGGGATTTATGTTTAATCTGTGGTGATAAAGGTGACTCTGCTGATAATTAAATAATTTTATTACCTTATTTCCACGAGTGCAGATTGTCTAACATGTAGTTTTTCCTGTTAATTTTCCCAAAAAATGTTTTCTTTTTTTCATTTATTTCCCCCTTTGGTTAAATCTCCTGAACTCTGTTAGTAAATTTGGGAAAAATAACCAACTGGTCAACTTTATTTCACAAAATCACTTGACTTTTATCCACATATTATTCTTTACCTACACCCACGTAACACACAGATTGTAATGGTTGACCCATATGGCAGGTCACATTAGCTAAGATGGAGGGCAGTAGGGAGATATTCTTGGGTCCACACAGGCTCCACATTAATCACGACTGTCCTTCGCCACTCCGTCTCATTTACTCCCTCTGTCAGCGCTCGTGTACGACACAGAGGAGTTTGCTCCGATTTTCCTTCCTCCTCTGATACGTCTCGAGAACAGGCGACGGGGCGGACTTCTAAATGGAGCATGTGGCCCAGTGTGGCGGTACAAAGCCACAGAGGAATGCAGCAGGTGAGGTGTTTCATGTAGGACATTGTGCAAAGGACTTTGGTGCAGTGTCAAGCTGGCAAGAGTCGCAAAAAAATGTTTTTAAGTCGAATGGAGAAAAAGAGCAGAAAGCCATCAGAAAAGGCTTGCACGTCAGCTTTAAGTGTCTTTGCCCAGTGTGTTGAGATGCTTGTGTTCTTAAAGACTTGGAGCATTAGATTCATAGTCTTCAGTTTGTGAGTGAGCAGTTAAATATTTTGACATGAATTGTCCCAAAAAGACTCTGTGCCATACAAAACATTCTAATTTAAATTCTAATTTAAAACTACCTTTCATCCTGCTTAGTTCATCAAGTAGCTGTTTTAGACGGACTACTACATTGATAGTGCATGGGGTGCAGACTATTGACAGTGTTTGGTGCTAAATGATGCCCACATGTGCATTCAAGTTGTTGTTGCTGAGAATAAATTCATTTTATAAGCACAATTATTTGTTTTGTAAGGAAGAATACAGTGCTGTGAAAAAGTATTTGATTCTATGGTGCTTATTTATCTGTTTAGAAATAACCTACAAACTTAGCATGCTGTGAGTGCAAAATTGTTTTTAAGCAAAAAAAAAAAAAAAAAAAAAAAAAAAAAAACCAAAAAATAAAAAAAATTTTTTAAAAAAAAAAAAAAAAACTTTTAAGAAAAAAAAAAAAAAAAAAAAT